AGACCTGCCTCCAACAAGCACGTGGTCGTTGTTGTCACGATGAACTGGTTGTTCCTCTCTGCCAATGAGTTGTTCTGTGGGTGATGCGGAAGCGAGTGACCACCTCAAATTCAGGTGCTTTATCAGCGTACGCAATCTTGATCTTGCGCAATCCTTTGAAGTGGTTCACCGCATTGATCACATCGGCTGTGAACTTCTCCATTGACGGATACGCCCAAATGATCCCCGTGTATCGATCTCTGATGACGAAGATTTCTCTGTCGGTGTGGATGCCCTGATCCATAACCCTGTGAGCGTCGATGAAGTCAAAGGTGACTAAATCTCCAAATGCTTTGAGTTTCCTCTTGAATGCCCCTCTGTGGGTCTTGAAGTGTCTCATCTTGACATCGAGACCTAATTTCTTGGCTGAGGCTCTGTTCTTCTATATGAGATCGTGTCCGCAGCCGCATCCTGTGTCCATGATGAACTTCGCTCTTGATCCTTTAGCAGGTACTGACAACGTCTGCGCTTCACCTTTGGTCCCATGTTTGCCACACACGTGAGGAATGAGTTTGTGAGTGAATACTAGTCCTTCTTTTTCATCGAACCTCATTGCAATGGCAATATCACCAGTTGGACCAACTGGAATATGAAACTCTTTGATACTGGTGTAGGGTGTCATAAGGATAGCCCTTGCTTCTGCTACTTTTGCATCAAAGCGACTCTGCTCTAGGTGGGAATGGTTAGTAACCTCCCCCGTCTCATATCTCTTGATATCCGGCCTCAATGGTTTCTTGATCACGGGTTTCCACACATTCCTGATGGAATAAGCAGCTTCAGTGAGAATGGTCCCACCAATGCCCTCATTGAATGAAATCTTCCTACCCTTTGTGACGTTCATCTTCACACATGCTGCAATTCCTTCATCATCAGAAGAATATATCTCCCGCAGCCGGAGCACCTGGTTTCCCTTTGGGCTTCGGTTTTGGTGTAGGCTTCGGTTTGGGCTTGTCGTCGCCAGAATCTGCTGCTGCGGATGTACCCTTCTTGGGCGCTGCCTTTGGGTCATGGTGGAATTTATACTCTTTTCCCTTTGGGCAGTTCCCTCGGATCCAATACCTTTCCTTCACCTTTGGGTGATGTACTTCTTGATGGAGTCCTTGGCTTCTTGTGACTGCGTGGACATCCTTTCCCTTGGGTACATAAAGAATTTGCACCTGATCTTCTTCTTATCTACACTTGTACTTCTTCCTCTGTCTTTACCGCTTCCCTTTCCTTTCCCTTTCTTCTTAGGATCGGGTGTCGGGATGACAGGAGTTTCTTCTTCCGTCTCTCCCATTGCACCTGATGACTTTGGCTTCGGTTTCTTCGGATCATTGGGTGCAGGTGTAGCTTTTGCCTTGGGCGCAGCCTTGGAGATGTTCGCCGCGTTCTTGACGGCTTTCTCCTTCTCAGGGAGCATCTTGTCTTCAGTTTGCCTTTCAATATGTCTTCGAATGATGTCACGAAGGGTCTGGTATGTCTTCTTGGGATCTCCTTCATTGAGGCTGTTATACATGTGTATGTCGTAGGACATCAGGTTGGAGTTCTTCACTTTCCTATACAGTAGATCTCGGGATGTCAGCTGGCTTCATTCCGGCTAAGATCTCGTCCCATGTGTGGAAGAAAAGTGATAGATCCCTGTCTTCCTGATATTCAAATTGATACAAATACATAGAAGTGTACAGTATCTCAACGTTGGACGTCGTCTTGAAGTTGAGGAGTATCAGCGCTAGGATCTCTCTTCCTTTGATAAGGGTAGAAGTTCTCCCTTTTGCATTGATACGAGTTCTCAATTTCATAGCGACATTGTTTCCCTCTTCTTTAGAGTCGGAGACTATACTTTGGTCAGTGCGAGGCCCAACTTCGCATCGATAGAATGAAACCTTGGATCACCAGAGTCCATTAGCTTGTCCGGGTCCGGATCATCAATCGCCTCTTTGATCCAATCGATCCATGGCTGTTGATCAGAGTCATTTGCAGCGATGACGACGCATGAATCAAGTTCGCTTTCCATAGTCCTAAGTCGTTGACCTTAGGCCATGGTGGCACATTCACTTTGGATTCTTCTTTCCTTGAAACTTTGGTCGTGGAAATCGGTGAGGAGGAAGATGCCGGCGCAGTTTCTGATAACTTGTGTTTGAGTCCTGCATTTTCTCACCCATGTTCCTGCGCTTTCTTCCTCATAACTTTTACTAGCTTCGACGTACCAATCATACATTGCGTTACGTTCTCTCCTCAGTCTGTTCACTTCGTTCTCCTGATACTTGACGTCGTCTCTCAAACGTGAATGAACCTCTTCATCGGATCGAGAGGTCAGTGACCCTCGTCCGTCTCGACTGTCTCCTTTTGAATAGCTGTAACACATCTCTGCTTTCATCTTTGCATTTTCAGATCTCACTTCCAAAAGTTTCTTCTCGGCAATTCGCTGGTTCTCCTCAAGTTCGCGGAATTTCTCCTCAAGTATCATTCTTTCTCTGCTATCGGTTGCGGAGGCTTTCAGGAGATTTTCCCTCCTCAATATCTTGTTGGCCTCGGCAAGGGCAAAGTTGGCTTCTTTCAGCTGTTGTTGTTCCTCCTTCGACTGTTTCTGTATTCCTTTTGCAGCATCTTCTGTAGTCTCCATTGCTTCAGCCCCTGCTTCATGTTGCAATTGCTTTGCTCTCATCTCCTTCTCGTTCATCTCTAACTTGTGTCCTTGAATCTCGGTCTTGAATTCCAAGTCACGATCACCCATTCCTGCGACAATGTTCATTTCTGATCCTTTGAGCATTGCCAGTTGTCCACGAAGGTGTTCGACCATCCTTATCTCTTGATATTGATGACCTGTATTCTCAGCCATTTCATCGGCCAACTGCATCTGACGCGTTTCACTATTCCACTGTCTATCTCTCTCCCTCTGAGCTACCTCCAACATAATGCTGTTCTCATTCTGTATCTTGGATATAGTGCAAGGCACCTTGCATCTCTCTGGTCATATCCTCCATCTTGGATCTCACTTCGTCGAACTGCGAGTGTTCTTCGTGGTTCTCATGAGCAAGTTCCTCGTACTTCATGTAGATATGGTCTGCTAACGATTCAGCAAGACGGAGCTTCTTCTCGAGTTCCTAGATACGTATGGTTGCTCCTTCATCCTCTTGCTCCTATTGCATTTCGTCAAATTGCGAGAATTCTTCCTGCGATTCGACATAGAGTCTTGCGTATCCTTCGCGCAAACAGCTATATTCATCGTTCAAGTACTGATACGATACTCCTGCCGACCGAAGTTCTTCCATGAGTTGCATGTCCCTTTCCTCAATATCTTGGGCATCATCTTCAATCTCAACTCTCGAGTCAACATCTCTCTTCGGTGATCTTCTTGTCGTTGTTCTCGGCGATGTAGACCTTGAAAACTTTCTCAAGACTGTCCTTGCGTTGCCCATTCTTACATCGGATCCAGCAGATGTCGTCTCCAAGGGAGCGACTCTACCATCACCTGCTATTTGTGATGTAGATGGCATGGTCATTACTGTGGCAGCATCAGCAGATAGCACCGGTTATCGATCCCGACGATGACTGTGATGCATTTCCTCCTGGAGCTGTGGTCTCTCACAAGCTCGTAACCTCAGAGCGGCTACGGCTGATAACCTGCGTGTGGATATTAATCTGCCCAACGTGAAGTGTAGGTAGACTATCCTCTCCCTCGTAGAAAGCGATGGTGCGCACTTGTTTTCCGCTGGATCTACGGGAGTCTTGAGCCAAATATAGGCGTGACACGCTACATTGTACTGTACATGCATATGGTATGCTGTCGTCCCACTGCTGTTGACTGACAGGATGCGTATATATATATATGTATGTATACAGTACACAAATGTACAATGTACACAGTACGTTTATTCATGCAATTGCAGTGTCGATCACCGCATGGAGCGACTTGAGGGGGCTGGTTGTGCATGCTGAAGCATGCACAACATATGCATCGCATGCAGCTCTTTTGGCCCAGAAAGTGCTTAGCTCCTTGCCTTGATGACACCAGTGCGGTCAGCTACTTGTTGCATGGCTAAGCGGAGTAGTGATTGTGGAAGAAAAGAAGGGTTTGGGGGAGTAATCGGCGAGTAAGAACAGCGGGAGTCGGAATGACAAGAGTAGTAGCTGCAACAGCAGCAGCAGGTCTCGTATGTTGTCGTCATCTGAGGGATCATCGTGGCACATGTATGTACATGTTGTCAGGGGAGGTATCAGCGGGCCACAGCATAGAATGCAATCAGAGTGGCCAGAACCGCACGAGAGGAGGACCAGGAGCGGTAGCAGTTTTGCATAGGAAAGCAGTGGCAACAGCATCAGCGGCGGTGTGTGTAATGAAGAAGCTGTTTCCCATTGAGATGAGTTGCAACCGTTTGCAACCACGATATTTGCATCCTGGCATGACCCAAGCTTATAGTGAGTATACTTGGCTAAATGATACTCCAAACATCCCGGACCGAAGTCAACCAATAATGTCAAGCCAATAATGTCGATGTTGGGTCAGGTAACATCATTTTCAAATTGAATACTTGAAACGACGTAGACAGCATGTTCAGGCTTGCCATTGTGGCAGTTAACAGGTACGGTACCCCCACAAATCCAGCGGGAACCATATGTATGCACATGACACATTTGTCCAAAACCCCACATTCTAGAGCATCTAAAGCAAAAATAGGAGCATCCCAAAAACATTCTGAAAACACCCTCTGATTGCACCGGCTTGAAGGAGGAGTCAGATTTGTTTCAGCAGTCACCAGTCAAAAGGCAAAAAGATTCCACTCATTGACAGTGTCTCGTAGACATACACAAGCTACTACCAGCCTGCTTCAAGTTGGACTTCCAAGTTTAGTTTCATGGGGGTGTCAAAGAAGGCATAGAAATATGCAAAATCTAGCAAAGCAATCATAGCATGTCATAGCACGCTGATCTCTGCACACTGTCTAGTGCCAAAGCTGTACATGACAACGCGCAGGCTCCGCAGCAGGCGGCGAAGCTCACAGCCACCAAGACCAGCACAAACATTTGCCAGGAAGCGCCTGCGCAAAGTTCCAAGCACGATGAAAAAGACACCCAGTTACATTCAATCCCTGACGCTTGCATTAGCTTTTGGAGACTTGACTACCCCACTATAGACTGTTTCAAAAGACACCTTGTGACACCCTGAAGCATCTTGCCCTACTCCAATACATCACGAAATTGAAGGCTCCTTGGAGCCTTTGGTGCTCGCCGCATGCGTGCACGGCCAGTTGCTTGATGTGCCACATGTGGCACATCCACCATGGCTACTCGGAGCATCGCGCATTTGCATTAAGCTCCAACATAGCTTGAAAGGGTTCTAACATATTGCAAAATGTGTCAAGCCGTAGGAGCAGCCAAGCCAAGAACAAAAATATGATCAAATTCACATCTGTTCCATCAAAACCTGGCAATGCTATCGGCAAGGGTAGGTCGATTGGTAGGTAGGGGAAGTTGTTTTGCAGTAGCTGTTTAGATTGACAGACAAATGGGTAGATATGATAGATAGATAGATAGACAGACAGACAGATAGATGTCAACCGTCCGTAGAAAGCACCACAT